TTGAAACAGAAACCTGTGAAAAACCTGTGAATTTGGGCATGATAAAAACTCGTTGAAACAGAAACCTGTGAAAAACCTGTGAATTTGGCCATGATAAAAACTTGTTGAAACAGAAACCTGTGAAAAACCTGTGAATTTCAGATGATAAAAACTCGTTGAAACAGAAACCTGTGAAAAATCTGTGAAAATGGCTGAAATGCCTTTATATAATTCTAATTTTCCTCAACATATTTTGAAGGCATATGATCATACTTATGACACTAATGAACAGCTACAGCAAATTTAACTTGACATTATAAAAGTTACCTTATGAAAAATCCTAAAAAGATCTCACATAGGATGCACAATCCTGCTTACAATCCTACTTAAGGATAACAGTAGCATTTTCCACAGAGTGGCTCTTCATCCACTGTATTCCAATTTTTTGGAATGGAAATTTTGGCTGATGCTACTAAAAGAGGATAAAGACTTCTTTGTCTCTATCCAGTGTTAATATTTCATGATGGACTGAATTGAACATCAAATGGAATATATAATTCAAATACAATTTTGACTTTTTAAGACTTACAGGTGTAATAACACTCTGCAGATATGGGGTGGGTTGCTTCAATTCCAACAATACCACTTATATATCCCAATAATTTCCGGGTTTGCAATTCATCACAACTACGAGTAAAACATTTATTAGCAATAATGATAATACATTTTTATAAAATTGAATAAATTAACCGAAGAATGTATGGCATTTATCAGATGGTGCTGTCTGCCAGAAACTTATTCTCCTGTTTCTGAAATCCTCCAGGTGAAATCTAATGCTCAAACATGTTGTATTTGTTTTATTATTATTTTTAATCATAATGTGCTTAGCTGATGTCTTTCTACTTCAGTGTCAAAAAAAACTTTTGAAAGAAAAACTTTTAAAACTTTTACTAGTAAGTTTCATTCGGATAAAGCGTTGATAATTTTTTAAATTATAGAAAATGGACATAACACATTGAAAGCTTAACTATAAGATTAAATTAATACCTTATTTTGGCTGAATTTTTGATTTTTCCCCATCTTTTGCAAGAAAAAACAACCACAACCCTCAGCGCCATTTTAAATGTGCTGGCTCGCTTTATTAGTCAGCGGACTTTTTCTTGGTCACATGACGAAAACACGATCATTGATTGGCTGTTGGCATTAGAAAGCAAAAAGGCGGGAAATCAAAAGTTTTTTCGCTCATTTTTGCAAAGAAACCTTCCTTGGTTGATTTGTAATGAATAAAAAACTATTTGTTAGAATATAAAATAGCCTTCAAAGCKTTTAAAACAAAAGATCTTAATTTTTTGAGATGAAAGCAAATATGTTTACTCAAAATAATGCCTCTGCTGAAGTAAAAACGAAGACATCAAACAAAAAAACCCTGAGTATTTTGCCAAGAATTAAAAATGAAGGTTCAAGTTGTATTCAAGCAAGCAGTATTATTCAGTGGAGGTAGGTTTTTTAAATTTAAAAGCTATTTAAATATTGAGTTCTATAGATATATGCTGTTATGTTTTGGCAAGTTGTAAAAAATGCAGCATTTGAATCTGAACTATAGCATTTTTCTCTTTTWACAGCCTCAAAAAGCTGATGAAATCACCACAGGGCTTGAAAACTACAGACTGTGCTTCCCCTTTTTGCTGGTTAGCTCAGTGGTTTAGCTTATAAAAGAGCTGGATCTTAGATAGTGATGACTACTTATGAGCTCTGGTCTATATGGCTCTTGCCAACTGGTCAGTAAAATTAATTCTTATGCGAAAAAAGAGGATAAGCTTATCTAGTTATAGGTAAATAACCATTTCTAGAATGCGTGTATTGTTTTCAGGATAGTTATTGAAGGATTTCAAAAGAAATTTATAAAAAGAATGACAATAAAAAAAGTTGAAAAGTTGAATTTTTTTAGATCATGGTCAATGTCAGACTTGAGATCATAGCTCAGTATTAAAATTGCAAAATCCCAGTAGTGACCTCTTTGTAGCTTGGACTCAAATTTTGCTATCTTATAACACTTAATGCATAACTGATGCACAACTGACAGAGATGGGAAAACAGAAAGGCTTTTTTTGTAAATTAACAATCAAAATTTAGTATTACTACAGGTTGGTGCCATATGTACATATTTCGCGGTGATTTGCTTCTTCTGTTAAAATGAGCTCTTGACTTAATGGTTTTGAAGTAGGATTTTACAGGTTTTCTCAAAACT